TGCTATCCACAGAATAGGTCATCCTATCTGCTGAGGTCACTTTTTGGCGAACACTTACATGAGGTCACGATAAAGTTTAGGTTACAGTAGATTGACGGTAGGATCAGGGTCCTATTCAAGATCAAGGCACAGATTCATTGTGACGTGTATAACTCAGTCAACTTCAAGGTCAAAGAGGATGATGGTCATTGTCAAGCTAGGGATTTAATCTAGGAGTACAGTGAAGTTGAGGGTCAAAATTAGACTATGGCTGTTTCACTCAGGACAATGTTTTTAGGGTAGTGTCAGACTGAGGGTCATGATCAGTGTGAGAGGTGTTTTGTTGTTAGAGGCAGTCAGAGTAACTGTGAGGGTCATGTTAATACACAAGGACCATGATTAGAATCACATGGTGAGGATCAACAAAAAAGTCAGTGTCAAGGGAAGCATCAAGTTCATGGACAAGGGTTAGAGTCAAGGTTAGAGTGGGTCATGATCTAGGTGAAAGTCAACCTGAGACTCAGTTTCAAGATTGTGGTTAAATTCAACATCATGGGGTTAAGGTCAGGGTAATGTGTTAATCTGGCAGAGCAGTTAAGTGAGAGTAAAGGTATAGGTCAGAGTCAGATCAGGTTTGAAGTCAAATCAAAGGGTCCGAGATGTTCAAGTTAAGCATAAGATTAAATGTCAGATTCAGGTTGAATCTCAGGTTCAGCTCAAGTCTGAAGATCAAAGTGAGGGTCAATTTTAAAGTTAGGTGGAACCAAGGCAGGGCATGGTGCCTGTATCCCAGCACTCAGGAAGCTGAGGCAGGAAAATCGCTGTGAGTTCGAGGCCATCCTGGGCTAGTAAGTTCAAGGATAGCATGAAATGTATAGCCGAGACCTGTCTAAAAAATAAAAAGAAATAAAAAAAAAAAAGAAAAGAAAAGGAAAGGAAAAAGTCAGGTGATGTCAGGATTAAGGTGTTGTACGGATCAGGTTACTTGAAGGTCATTGTTCAAGGTGGGTCAATATTTGGATTACCACCAGTGTCACATGAAGCTCACTAAATAGGGTCAAGTCCCATGTCTAGTTCCAGAAGTGAGTCAAGTTGATGATCATATAATCTATAAAGGTGTGAGTTTGAAAGTGAAGGTCAGGATCATTGTAAGGCTGAGTTGTCCAAGTGACATTGAGATTCAATGCCAAGATCAAATCCAGGGTATGCAAATGTTAGGCCAAGGTTTGTTTTTAGGAACAGTAAGACAGGTCCAGAATCAATCTGAGGGTAATTGCTTCAGGCTAAAGTTAAAGGCTATGAGAGGAGCAAGGGTATGATTTCAGCATCAAGGTTGGGGTCAAGACAATGTTTAGGGTGAGTTGTGTGAGGATCAGGGTTAATTCAAAGTCAGATTAAGATTAGAGTGAGGACAGATCAGTGTCAAGTTCAGGGTCAAGGTGACTGTGAGGGTCACGTTAATAGACAAGGACCATGATTAGAGTCACATGGTGACTGAGAAGCTAGGTCAGGTTTGTGGTCAAGATCAGTTTCTGTGGGACTTGTAGGACAGTAACAGTTGGTGGTCTACTACGTAGAAGAGAAAGAATACAGGGCTGAAAAAAATACTTGATAGATAAAGACAGAAAACTTCACAAATTGGAGGAAGATATGACTTATAATTTCAGAAAGCTGAATGCTCCAAGGGGAATAAATCAAGAAATTGTCACCCAACCACAATGCCATCTACAAGAAATTAACTTCAAATATAACAAGATAGGATGAAAATAAAAGGTTTAAGATTCTAACAGGATCAACCTAATGCATCCAGAGGGAAAGAAAGTATAAAAAAAAAACACCCAAAGTGATGAGGTTAGGTTGCAGAGATGTAGGAGACAACTGAAGGAATTCTCAATAACCAAAGCTGCAAAAATATGACCAAGAAAATAATGTAGCACTGTATTATTACCAAAAGCATTAAATATTCATAAATCCATACCAATATAGTTTAATAAAATATATGGATAGTAGAAAATATCCTGTGCAGCAGAATTCCAGACACTTATGTAGATACTCTGCATTCAGAAAGTGCAACAGAGTATCTTAGTTTCAAATGTACAGTGCAGAAAAGGAATGAAAGACTAACTAGGGATAACAGGGTAGACTAACTAGGGATGATGGTGGAGGCTCGCTGGCATGTGTAAGGCTGTGAGTTTCACTCCAAGCAACACAAAGGAAAGCGGGGTGGATAGGAGAAAGAAGGGACTTCACAGTAGCAGCAAACCTAAGGCATATGTGCTACAGCAGGCTGTTACCACCAAAAGCTCTGACAGATCAGCCATCTCTGCAGTATAGAAACCTAACAAACAGGACCGCGGCCAGCCATGGTTAAGAGAAACAGTGGGGAGCCACCTGAATGGTTTGCACCATTTATGTGTGAAGAGAAAGGCACCTCTGCGGTCTTCTTTCCCAGATACTACCATCTCCACCTACCAGGAAAAAACATCAGAAAATCAAAACCAAGGGTCATTCTACTAAAGTCCTACTCAAACCTTTCAAGGTAATGAAAAACAAGGAAGCTCTGAAAAAATGTCGCAGTCAAGAAAAGCCTAAGAGAACTTTAAATTCCCTTTCACCTTATACCTAAAGGGGTTAAATACTTGAACCACCACCACCAAAAACAAGGCAACTGGTAGAAATGTGAAGAAAGAATAGTCTTTAGTAATGCTGGGACGTAATACCTGATGTCCATAACTTTAAATAGGAGATTTAATTTGTTGTTTTAAGGAAATGTATTCACGGTCAGCTGTCTCCAAGGCAAAAACATTACACGGCAGAAGTGCATGGCGGAGCAAAACTGTTCAGTTCATAGCAGCAGGTAAGCAGAGCAGGGGAATAGCACCCAAGAGGAAGGTGTGAGCGACCAGTCCGAAGGCCACATCTCCACGGCACATCCAGACATACCCAGAAATGTGTCTAACAATTCTCTGAGCATCCCAAACCCAATCAAGTTGGCAGTCTGTCCTAATGGCCACACACACTAGTATAACATGTTGATCAACAGTTACTGAGTGTGGGGTATATGGGAACCTTACACTCTCCATGTAATTTTTCTTTTTCAGTTATATGCTGATAAGGATATACATTTGTCCACATGTAAGTCTTAAGGAAATGATAATAAGTTAGAAAAGAGAATGTTATGGCTTATATCTAGATGTCCCTCAAAAGCCTCATCCACTTATAGGTGGGGCTTTTGGGAGGTGGCTGAATCATGGGTGATACTAAATGAAGGGTGTATGACACTGAATCAGTTCCCTATTTAGCAGTTCCCGGTGTGGATAATGGGCAAGCCAACCCTGGGTGCGGGTGGCTCCAGTCAATAGGTTTGGACCCCGGGTGGAATATAAACTTAAACAAAGAAGGCAGGCTTGCTGCTTACTGCTTCCTGCCTTCCCTGACATGGACTGTTTCTCCTCTGCCCCTCTGCATGCTGTCCTGCCATGGAGCCAGCCAACTATGGACTGAAACTTCTATAAACTTCAAGCTAAAATAAACCTTTCCTCCTTTAACTTGTGGGTGCCGGGCACTATGTCCCAACAATGAGAAGAGTAAAACAGAAAACATACTCCAAATATTAAAGGTTTCATTTCTATGCGGTACAAAAATAAGCAGAATGCTATGAATAAAGTTAAGAAACCTCAGGAGCTTGTTAGATAAATATCCCTGAGCCCCACACTCAAATTTTCATCAAGCTTCCTGTATCCCAGCCACACACACCTCCTCAGGTCAAATTTTATGCAGAGCCTGACATGCCAAATCTTGACTAAGATTTTTGGGTGGTGGTCTAGTTAGAAAGGGAGGTCAAACTTGTTCTCTTTTTCCTTTTTTTTTTTTTCTCAGAAGAATCAATTCTGGGATTTCAGGGTGCTTGCTCTACCCTGGCATGCAGAGGGTCAGAGTTGGCCTTAAAAGCAGAGCTATCAGAGAAAATGACACTACCCATCTCCAAGGTTGCCCTATTGATTCAGTGAGCTCATCAGGCCATACCTGTCCGAAGTACATACTAAAGTTCTCAATACATGTTTACCATTACTGGCAGGGCTCAGTCGGGCAGGTTTGTTATCTCATCTACTCAGGAGGCTAAAGCAGGACTGCAAGTTTGAGGCCAGTCTAGGCAATTTAGTGAAATTTTGCCTAAAAATGAATGAGTAGGATTGAGGGTGTTGCTCATTGGTACAGAACCCATAGGCTTAATTCCCAGTACTGTCCCCCAAAATGTTTGTCATTCCAAGCCAGATGAGTCTTAGAGATCCTGTGAAAATTCTATGTGAAGACACCTAGATTAAAAAAAGTTAAATAAAGATTAATGATACAAAGTGCTGCATAGTAAGTGTCAAGAGTATGGCTCTCACTTCAAGTCTATGCGGTCTCATTATATTACCAGGCTAGTCCTGAACTTGTGAGCTCAAAAAGTCATACTTCTGCCTTAGTCTCCTGAGTAGCTGGAACTACTGCCAAGACTTCTAAAGTTTTAAATCACAAATCCCCCTGTAGTGTTATAAAACAGTTTCATCCGTGGTATGTAGGTAAATATTTACCTATGGGTTCTAATGGGGGGGAGGGAGGGTTGGCATCAACTTTAATTTTACTGAAATGAATTGTATATGACACAATTTACTACAAATAAATTATATAATATTCATTACAAATTTTATATACCTGTAACTTCACTGTAACTTGCTACTTCCTTCCAAATCCAGAAGAGTACTTAGTAATTTTGTTGCCAACCTTTCATTCCAATAAATTCCCTTTTCGGTTTTAGTCAGTCAATGTCAGAGCTTATTGCTCACAATTAATTCTGAGCCATACATGCCCTGACCCAGCCAGGCCTTTCATTCTGACCTGTTACAGGGGATACCAACAATACAAAATAAAAGATGGCAGCTCTATAATTACATAACATTGCACCAAAAATTCATCTATGTGACAGCAAGAACTATGTACATCTAAAGCACATAACAGAATAGGAAAAACATGTTCTTTACTTAATTGTACATTTGCATAACAAAAATGTCTCAGTCACTTTGTCACTGAGACAAAATAGCTGAGCCATGCAACTTAATGGAGAGGTTTACTTTGGCTATGGTTACATTCCCTGGTCAGCTGGCTCATTCCAGGGCAGAATGAAATGGCACAGGGGCACAGTGGAGGAAAAGCTGCTCATCACATGGCAACCTGGAAACAGAGGGTGAAAGAAGGAACCAGAAGAGCAGATGTCTCTGCCAGGTCGTGCCACCAGCAACCTGTCTCTTCTGACCCAGCCCCTAATATCACATATAGATACAGCACATCCATGGTTCAGTCACCTCTTAAAAGCCCCATTAAGAAAACATGAGGCTTTGGGGGGACATCTAAATATGAACCATAACAAAAACCAATTGTATTATAATTTTAATATATTATGCATGGGCTTTCTAGTGCCCTCAGACTTACATTCAACTTGTCTGCCACCTATGATCTCAAAAATCATAGGCAGGTTGCTCAGCAGTTGAAAAATAGGCTAATAATGACTAATCCTTTTAATAATGACTCTTAAACTTTATTTTCTTTATGATCAGATAACAATATATACTTCATTGGCATGTTGTGAGCACACACAGGGTACACTGTGCAGGGTACAGAATGGCCATTTGAGAATTATTAATTCCTTTCCCAATATTGATAACATAGTCAATTTGGTCTTTGTACATATTTGAGCTCTACCTAAGTGAGAGTCTCTCCACCTGGGATAATTGTTAGCCATGCTGAATTTTGAAGCAATATGACCTCAGAATGCTTGTTCCATTGCTTCTGGCTTCCACACCAACAATGTTTGTACTGTCACTTTCCACGTGGGTAAATCCACTGCAAAGAAAAGAAAGAGAAGAAACAAACCAGTTGTTAATCTGAGAAAGGACAAACATTTAAGTAGTAAAAGCTTTCACATGAAGATGGAGCTCAGCCTTCTGTACCTTCTCCCACCAAGTCAAAACTACCTGGTCTTCTTTATATCTCTTATTTCCTCTCGGCTTTGATTTGAGGATCTAAATTCATTTGTCACAATTACAAATATCACATTCTTAACCCCAGAGCATCATGTCAATTTTGTGTTAAAAGAGCAGCACAGTGGGTGTATAATAATAATGTTTATTCTTTAGAATATTTCTATTGACAAATTATTAATTTAAATTTTATAAATTTTAGTATATTAAACAATGAGTTCTTAACAAGAAAAAAATAAAAAGTAATGAATTTTTAATATTTATTATTTATAAAAAAGCATCAAAATTTTCAACATTGAGTTTTTTGGTTTACAAAGTCAAAAAACAACAGCCGGGCTTGGTGGCACATGCCTATAATCCCAGCACTCAGGAGGCTGAGGCAGGAGAATCACTGTGAGTTCGAGACCAGCCTGGGATACATAGTCAGATCCAGGTCAGACTCAACTACAAAGTCTGAGACTCCATCTCAAAAAAACCCCCAAATTAAAAAAAAAAAAAAAAAAGAAAGAAAGAAAAAGAAATTCACACATGAACTACAATGAAAACATCAACAGAACTCTATACTACAATCTTTACTTCAATCATCACACTTAAGACAGTCTTCATACATGACAACAGCATGTTCCATACACATGTATCACTTATACTGTCAGCACATGTGCTTAGCTTTCCTGTCTCTTTTGCAGGACATACTTGACATCTTTCTTTTGTCAGGAGGTTATATTATACAATGTGTAGTTAACAGGAACATAAAATACCAGTAACATAAAGTATTAAATTCTTAATATGTATTGCATGTTTAGAATAAACATCAACATTTTCACATCAGTTGTGTAGCTGCTTACAAAACCTAAAAGGGAACATCAGAAATACATTCCTATATGAACTACAATGAAAATACCAACAGACCCCTACATCAAAAATAATCTTTGCTTCAACTGTCACACCCAGGGCAATTTTCACACGACAACTGCACATTCTATGCACACATCTTGCTTACACTGATAGCCCATGTGCTTAGCTTTCCTTTCTTGTGTAGTAGGTAGTTCTTGTCATTTTTTGTCTTCCTCTTGTCAGGTTTCTCAGCCTTTTGGCTAAGATCAAGTGCAGGAGCTTCTTACTATATTGTACAACATACATTTTAGCAGGCAAGATATCATTAAAATAAAATATCAAATATGCAATGAGTGCTTAGAATATACATCAACGTTTTCATATTAGCTGTTTACTTGCTTACAAAATCTAAGAGATAACACAGAAATAAAAACTTATGTGAGCTACAGTGTAAACACAAACAAAAACCTACCACAGAAATAATCTTTGCTTCAACTGTCATATTTAAGGCAGTCTTCACACATGAAAACTGCATATTCTATGCACAAGTCTTACTTACACCGATAGCACATGTTTTGTTTTCCTGTCATTATTTTAAAGACCCAGTTGATACCTTTTTTGTTTTCCTCTTGTTGTAGTGCATCTTCGTGATGTCGGACCTGCCTTTTCACCTGTCAGCTCACCAGCATGGACGATTTTTTTTGCATAGTTCCCTGGGCAGAAACATTTTGTTCTTCCTCTGCTGTAAATGATCTCTTATGAGTTCCAGTCCCAATCCTCTAAGAAAATTTCTCCATATTTTGCACTTATTTTCTTTGTAAACTATTAAACTATTTGTGCCACATGTTTAGAATTGAGTAAAATACAACCATTGACTGATGCTTTGTGTTTTGAGTGACATCACAGTTGCTGCATAACTAATCAACAACATCTACTCCGCCTTTGGTTTTACTGTAAAAAGTTATCATCTCAGACTTCCATTTGGCTGAGGGTTCTGTCAATTTTTCCATCATGGCGCAATGTGACATCAGAGGTACTAGTTTGTTTTTCTTTGTCATATACGAGGCCAATGTTATATCTTTCTGAAATCCAAAGACTACTATACAATTTTGTTTTGTTTTGTTTTTAATTTTTATTTCTGCAAAGCCAATCAAAAAGTTGTTGGAAGGAAAAAGTATAAAAGTTACCCTTGCATATTTGGGAACAGCAAGCACTTAAGTTTGAGAAAACAAGGACTTAAAACAGTTGAATCAAAGGCAGTACCCGGCTACTTATATTTTAAAACAATGTGATGTTTCTTCTGAAACAACATTCCTTTCTTCCCTAATTACAATATGACACAATACGCAACAGCTCACTTGAAAGTGCTAGATCATAGGGGTCAAGAACGCCATGAGCCATCCCACTTAACATGTCCCACTATACAACGTTGTTTTGGTGCTTGAGAAACCAAGCAATCGTGTAGCATTACATTCAACAGAAACAACTCTCATACTTTGGGGGTTTAAGATCCTTGTCCCTCCAGTTCCGATGTTGTGACATCTGACTCTTCATCATTGTAAATATTTTCAGCCATTTGCAATATCTGCATGATGTTGTCCTCGGACACTGAGCAGATAACCCAGGGCTCATTGGGGTTCCAGTTAAAGTCTGAAATCTTGGCAGTGTGTCCACCATGAATAAACAGAAGTTCTGGAGGCCCATCTTCTGTGTCCTCAGCTGATTCTTCTTCTCCAATTTTACTCAAATCCCACACGTTCAGGTGGTGAATCAGTACCACTTGAAGCCAAGATAGTTTCATTATGTGGAGACCGGTAGACCTGGAAAATCTCATTCTTATGAGATTTGAAAGTGTGAAGTTTTAATTTTAAGTTACGTAGGTCCCACAAAGCTACAGTTTTATCGGCAGAACCAGTTGCTAGAATGAACTCGCTATAGGGATTGAAGTAGACCTCGGCAGTGTGCGCATCCACCAAGTGGCTGGGCTTGGAGGTGGTGTTGGACCTGGTATCCCATATCATGAGTTTCTGACCATCAGCAACTCATCCAAATAAGGACTCATGCAACAGATGCCAGGCCACATCCTCTACAACGGCTGAGTGGCCAGTAAAATTGCTTTAGCATCCACAATTTTGTCTTCCTTTGGTCCTGCATTTATACCCCACAGGCAGACAGTATGGTTGTCGGATGCACTTAGGAGATAGCCACTCAAATTTGAATTCCAGGAAAGACCAGTCTTCCTTTTGGTGACCTCTTAACCTAAGATCAGGATTATATTCTCCACTTGGGTCAGGTTTAGTAGGGTGTTTTGTGTAGTCAAAAACCAACACATCAGAAGATGGTGTTTTTGTAGCAATGATGTGAGGATTTTGTGGCATGTAATAAGCATGGTTCACTTCTCCTTCGTGATTAATTTTAATTTCACATTCGATTTTTCCAAAGCCATCAAATTCGCCCTTGTCACTGTCACAGTGGGAAGCATCGAACTGTGCATCATCATTGGGAGTATGGACTTGAGCAACCAGCAGATGATTCTGCTCATCAGATGTGTGAGTCCCCAACACTAGCCAATGAAGGGCATAATCTTTTCCTTCTGGTTTAGTCACTTCAGGAAGCCACTGAACCGTAAGACTGGGCCACTGAAGAGCATGGGTCATAACCAGGTCATACAGAAACGGTGTATTCTTTTTCCAGATTTTATATTCTTCATTGATGACATGCTCTTCCACAGTATCTTCAAACATCTCTTTACTCGCCATCTTGTGTCGGGTTGTTCGCCCCCTCGTTGCCAGCTGACTCCTTACGCTAGCCAAGAGCAGCCTGAATGCTGGGGCTCTTGCCTTTCCCAGGCGCGCCACACACCCCTGGCTCTTGAAGCCTGCAGTCCGTCTTGATGCCTGGGTGCACCCCAGATGCGTAACCTTCCCTCCTGCCTCCTCCCCACTCGCAAGTACTGAGGTCTGAGGAGCTCTTCTCTCTCTCCAAACTTGGAATGAGACTTTTCAACCCGAGCCTCTCAGCCCGCCCAGGCGGCTGAGTACAATTTTCTGTTTTGAAACTGCAACATTTCATTAGGAATTTCTCCTGTTCTTTTTTTTTTTTTGGTTTTTTGAGACAGGGTCTCATTATGTAGTTGAGACTGACCTGGAACTATGTAGCCCTGGCTGGTCTCGAACTCACAGTGATCCTCCTGCCTCAGCCTCCTGAGTGCTGGGATTACAGGTGTGCACCACCACTCCTGTCTTTTTTCTTTGTTCTTGTGTCTAGTTCCTACTCTGGTCAACTTATGCTTTGTTAGCAAATGCAACATCAATTGGAAACTAGTAAACCAATTGTCAAATGTCACGTTCCAATTAGTTTGGGAGATGTGAGCAATAAGTCTTTTCACAACATAATTGGGTTTATTACTATACAAATAAAGACATGGTGGCTGAGTTCTAGGGTGAATTGAAAGTACAATACGTCTTCACATGTACCAGGGTACATATTTTTATACTGTATTTTGAAGGCTTTTTTTGGACATAAAGCTACAGCAACCACAAAATGCTGTAAGATGTTCTATTCAGTCATGCATTCAGATGGTGTGTAAATTCCTTAACAATTAGCAATAGATCTCTCAAAAAAATGTCTGAATAGTAGCTAGATTATCAGTTTTTTTGGGTGCTTTTGTCATCAAACCTCAGGTAATTTTGAAGGAAACCAAATCCCAGTGTCATTGTTATTCTGCAAACCTCAAGCCCACACCACTGCTTTTCCATGTCTTTTACATTCTTAGATTTACTATGAGAAAGCCCTGCTAAGTATAGCAAACCTATGAATGTTTTTGATTCAGCTTGTGAGGTGTCATAATAAACACATTTTTGAGTATTGGAATCAGTGCATATAGAACGTTTTCCTTGGGCCAGGGATACAGCTGAGTGGTGCTGTATCCACCTGGCAAGTGCAAGGTCCTGGGTTTGATCCCCAGTACCAGAAAACAAACAAAATGGAATATTTTACTTATATTTCATCATTTGTGTATCTCACACCTTGTAGCATTTCATCCGTTACAAACAATTTCCAACATTGAATGGCAGTGCTGGCATTTGTCCAACAGGTATCACCCTAGCCAAGATCCTCATTATATTTTTGGACCTAGTTCTGGCATTGGAGCCTTCTATTTGGTTGTGTAACCATTCTGAGAAGTCAAATATGTACCCACATTGCTGTTTTCTTCACCATCAGAATGAAGGAGAGCTCCATTCCCTAGGTCTGTATTGGTCAATTCTTGCTTCATTTCACTGCCACAAGACTCTGGCTCACATGGTCAACATCAAAGTCATTGTTGTCATCATCATCACCATCATCATCATCATCCATGCATGCGTCACCTGATGATTCACTTTCGGCCTCCTCCAAAACTTGCAAATCTGGTCATATGCCATTGCATTAATGTGCTACTTCTACCAGAAAAATCAAAAGGAAACTTTTAAAAAACAAATTCTAAATACACAGAAATTTACCAATGAGTATTTCATGGGTAAAACTCACCTGTTGCTGCTTTGGAGCTCCTGTATACACCGTGCTGTTCATTTGCCAAGTGGATGAACGAACGCACAGATGGATTCTTGGTTTTTCCAAGCCCAGCTACCGTGAATCCACACTCCATTATTGTAAAATACATGTTTACATAACAAAAGAATGGTGTGGGTGTATTTACAACCCCCCCATGCCTAGGTAAACATAGGCAAAAAATGTTACGTGGAGCACTGTGTGGGTAAAAATTCTGGTTTGACACTTTCGCACACATGTGCACACCTTGTTATTTGTAGCATCAAGTTTGCTTCCTGTATCCTGTATTCCCCAGGTGCAGCTACTGAGATGCATAGGCATCTACTATAATGCTAAAGCACAAATTTCTATCAGAAAAGTTTAGTATGTGTATATTTAACCCACTGTGGTGCCCCAAGTTATTACGTGGGAATATAATTTTGGGGCAGCCTTCCTGACAGTAGCTGCCTGAATCATAATGATTCCAGCTAATATAAAAAATTTCTGACAGAAGAGCTTCTAATTTAATAATTGAGTCTGTTGCAAATGTATTTATTATTTTGGTAGGATTTCCCTATAAATTTATTACCTAGCTTTTTAAAAGTGAAAACTATTTAAATCATTGAAATTCAACTGCTCATTTTCTCTAAAAGGAAATTTAACTGTTTCTCCAAAAGGAATAAATGGTTCCCTGTGTGCAAAATATAACAACAAAAGAGCTTTTAATTTAATCTAGGCAAGTCTGAATCATTTTCCCAGAAATTAGAATTAACGTATCCATCCTGGTCAGTCTCACTGCTCTCTTGAATGACAAAGATATGATCTTGGGGCCAGGGATTTAGCTCAGTGGTTCTGCCACCAGCCTCACAATCACAAGGACCCAAGTTCAAACCCTGGTACCAAACAAACAAACGAACATATAATCTCAAACGCTCATAGAAGCAGCAATTTTCTACAAAGTTAAATCATCCTCTGTGGGACTTTGGCTAAACATACACTTGTGCTTCATATGTAAAACATGTACCTTAGTGGTTTTATATGTTGTAGGACATCATGTATAAAATGCAAAGTGTGAGCTAACAATGTAGGGTATTTTTTGGGGGGGTGGTTGAGAGGGGTTCTTGTTATGTATTTCAGGATGGTCTTAAACTTGCTATATAGCTCAGGCTGGCCTCAAACTCACTAAGACCTCCTGCCTCAGTCTCCTGAGTGTTGGGATTAGAGACATGCACCACTATACCCAACTAACAATGAGGTATGTTTTTCTTCACAGAAGAAGAAACCTTTACGTAGCAGCTGGCCCTCAGCCCTGGTTGGTAAGGGATAAACTGAGTTTATAATTCTAAGTCTTATTAACATTCTTTCCAACATTTCTTTCTTAAAAACAATTTTGGGGTGTGCCTGTAGTTCTAGGAAGATCATTAGATTGAACAAGTTAAAGACCAGCCTGGGCAACATGGTGAGACCTCCTCTTCAAAACCAAACCAAACCAAAAAAGCTGGGTGTGGTGGCATGCACCTGGAATCCTAGCACTCAGGAGGCCGTGGCAAGAGGATCACTGTGAGTTGGAGGCCAGTTTGGGATCACACAGTGAGTACAAGGACAGCTATATAGCAAGACTCTGTCTCAAAAAATCAAAACTAAACCAAATACTGCTTTTCAGTCATGTAAGACTATTTTGCAGGCAAAGTAAAGAAAAACAGCCAAGTACCTGGCCCATTTGTGGGATCCTCCAAGTAAGTGATAGCAGCTCTTGAGGACTGGGAATTTATTTTCCTTATTCCACACGTAGACACGCAAGGAGAGGTCCATGGAGGAGGTGATGACTCGGTCAAGGTCCTTGAAATGAAGTCAAGTGAGGTGTGGATGTGGACTCCAGAAAGCAGAGAGTATGCCATGGGTGGGGGGTGCTGCACTCACCACCCGCATGGACGTGATGGGCTTCTGGTGGTCCTGGAAAGCTACCAGCTGCAGGCCATGTATGGTGAACAGCATCAGCTCCAAGCCGAAAGTCAGCAGGATCACCTGAGAGCCATAGCCCTGCATGAGGTGAGGTGACATCAAGGTGTCCGGCAAGAAACTGGCCACCTGTTTTACTTTGGGAAATAAAACACTTAAATGGGCTACTCTGGAGCAAATCTATGCCTTGCCTAAGATGATGCAGTATACAGAAAGGGACAATGGCTTTCTACTTTGACCTGAGCTAAGCCCTTACACATGCATGCACTCCTAAATCTCCACTTCATCAGCAACAAAATACGGGTCACGCTGCCACTCTCCTGGGGCTGTAGAGTCAGTGTACTGTAGCCATAAAGTGTCCAGCACAGTGTCTTATACACAGAACCATTCAGGGAATGCCAGCTCCATTCTTTCTTCCTTTTCTTATCTGAGACAGGGTGAAATAAGGAATGACATGGCAACTATATGACATTTATTACTTTGGCCAAAACCTATTGTCAAACATGCTGTCTTTTATACTGGATAGCACTCAGTTTTACCAGAAGAAAAAAAAATTACCTCTTATGAACAAGTCATGTGTTTTCTCATTACCTAACAAGGGGTACATTATATATTTCATTTCCCTTTTTTTCTCAAGGGCTAGGAAGCTCAGTAAAATTTGTAGCCAAATGATATATAAAGGAGAAAATGCCAGGACCTGTCAGAGTGATGCTGGGTTTAGGAAACAGGAGAGACAGCTCTACTAAATAGAGGGCTATGGGTCTTTTTTTCCTACTAGACTAGGAGATCCATGGAAAAGAGATAGTTCTGGCTTTTATTAATCTTTCTTTATACTCAGTGCTAAAAGCGGGTGGGGGGAGGACTGAATGAAAGCAGGAAGATCATTTTAGAGGGAGCTTGTGGGTGTGAATGGTATTTAATGTCTGAATCTCAGGGCCACACACAGGCCCCACTGTGGTCCATCACTCTACCAGTTCAGAAACTCAAAACTTTAGCTGGGTCACTCTATTACTGTTTCACTTGGAAAGAAGAAAAAGCGTCCCAGAGGAACTGTGAGAAACTCACCCTGGAAGCATTATACTGCAGTGGCAGTAACAGACAGACCATGTCTAGCATGGAGACCCTTACCCAGAATGTCCACTCTGTCCTTGGACGATTTCTTGGCCCTTAATTCAAAGGTAGTGACAACCAGCTGCATGTCATCTTCATTTTCATTTTTGTGCACCACAATCAGCCTGGCCGCTTCATCAGGTGCCCAGCAGGCTTGAGAACACATCCAGAGAGGGAGGGTGGTAGAGACAGGAGGCTCATCTTCTGACGGGCATGCCAAGGATTGAGTGTAGAACACCTGGGGAAACAGCCCTGCATGGTCACAGTGAAGGTGAGAGGGGGCTTCTCAAACCCTGAGCCCTCAGAAAGCCCCCACCTCCACCTGATTCCTGTACCTACCAAGAAGCTGGCTCTGCTGCAGACCCACATGGGCCCTGCTGGCCTAGCTAGGCAGTCTATGCCATAGCACAGTCTTCTCTCCAGACCAGAAGCTTTTCAAGCTTAAGCTCAGCTCGCATCTGGTGCCCCGGAAACGTCCCAAGGAGGTTGCAGGGATGCATAAACCACATGATAAGCATTTGTCTAGAACAGCTGCAGTCACTGTTCCTCAAATATCTTCCTCCACAATCTTTTCCTGTTTCCTATCTCCCCCTGGTTCCACCCCCTTCTTCAGGGGTCCTGGTAGCCCCTCCCATGGCCTTTCTGTACCTGGCTTTCTTCTCTGACCACTTGCCTCCCTGGCTGTCATTGCTTAGGCTCCCAGTCCTTCCTGCTCTGTGGAAGCTCTTGTTCTTGATCTGTCCTTTTTCCTCCACAAAAGCATTCCCAGCTGTCTGCTTTTTACCATACTTCAATTTCCTGGTTCAGGCTCTGGCACTCAAAGTGCTTCGTTTCCAACAAGTGACTGAACATCTCTGTACTTGCTGAGTTGTCAGGACACTGTGACTCACAGGGCATTAAGAAGATGGGGGCGATCACCCGGCGGCGTGCGCGCGAGCTCCCGGCCTGCGCAGGAGCTCCCGGCCTGCGCGACAACAGACCAGGAAGGCCCCAAAGACCCCCGGAGGGGGTTTCTTCAGCTGCCTGCCTGCCTGCCTGCGATCACCCGGCGGCGTGCGCGCGAGCTCCCGGCCTGCGTGACAACAGACCAGGAAGGCCCCAAAGAC